TTCTTAATTTTCCTTGTGCAGATTGTAAAACTACTACTTGAAAGAGAGAATATTTTGTTATAAGCATGAGCAGCCTCTAGTTTTCTTGGCTACAAGAATTTGAAATTGAGTCTCTTTTACTTGGTTAGAGTTTTATCCATCTACAGTTTGGTTTGAACTTAAATACGGAGAAACAAAGATCTTTAGGAATAGAAAGACTTTTCTGGTGAAAGCTCAAGAAAGCTGAATTTTTTAGCATAGCAGACACCTGTAGGGGTTGGTAGAGGTACAGTGAAGATTGAGTAAAGGTGGCATTGCTCTCTAGACTACCTCAAAATTCAACAAAAGTTGTGTGGAATAAGATTACTTTTAAATTAGGATTGAAGAACGACTTAAAGTTCAATTCACGTTGTAAGTTTTCTTAAACATGACATTGTTTCATTTTCTTTGGTTATAACCTTCAACTTTTCAATGGTTAGAGCAATGTTAGATCAGAGTAACTTCCACACCCTTCTTTCATTTTTTATTTTTCTTGCCTCCTTTGGACAAATGACTGAAACTTTTCCATTCCTTGTGTGCTTTCTGCTGAATTTTTTCCCCGTCTTGTATTCTCTTTTTCTTCTTAATGGGGGAAGGGAGTAGTTTTTGGAATTTGTTGTTAACCATCTGCTCCTCTGCTTTCTCCATTCATCTGCTTTGGTCTTGTTCCCATCTACTGTCAATACATCTCCTGATGTTATCATGATAGTAATATAAGATGCATGAAGGATTTATCTTCTTACTTTGTGATAACACCAATCTTTTTTTATCATGTTTACGTTTCCAAATTACAGCTGATAGTAGTGCTATGATTTGCTAAGCCCAGTAACTGGTATGCACATGATTTGTTATTTTGCTTGACTTTTATCCATCTACAGGAAGGGATTACGTTAACTGTTGAATCATTCTCTCATATAGCCCAAGACTCAATTACCAAATATGGTGATTTTGCTGAACAATCAAAAGCAAACAAACTTCTAGGAAATGGGAAAGGTGCTGCCATATTTTTGAGTTTTGATCCTTTCTATATCATTAGAGTAGTAATAACTCTTTCAGGCTATATGAAAAGATCCCTACTCGAATCTTTTTGTTCTTTAAATTCACAATCTGTTCGTTAGATAAATGTGGCTGGTAAAGCCAGTTGAGATTGTCACTCAAGATAATTGTAGAGAATTTTTTACATGTATCTCTTCTAGCTGTAATTTCTTTTCAAAATTTGATGTCTATTATTTTCTGAGAATGCTTATGATTGTGTTTATACACACATGTATATATATATATATATGTATGTGTACATGCACGTTCATGAGTGTCCATTTTGGTAGACCTGTGAGGAAAACTTTGGCTTGTATCGAATTATTGTTGTTGTGCAAAATGTATACCTTGTTTATAATGTTCTGTTATGTGCTTCATGTCCAAATACTACCTGTGGACTTGATAGGAGGTTGATAGGAGGATTAGGGTTGAATTGTTCTTATTAATGTTCTCTTGTTTTTATCTGTGCACTGACATTACATATGATGTTATTGCAGCTGCAGATATTTTGCTCTGGAGGGATGAGAAGAAGTCTTTTAATTGTTTTCTTTCTTTGGTTCTCTTCTACTACTGGTTTTTCCTTTGTGGAAGAACTTTTATCTCCTCTCTTTCTAAGCTTCTGCTGCTGATTATTGTTTCGCTGTCATTGTATGGTCGTCTGCCATCAACTGTGTAAGTATGAGAATAAATAATTTTGCATTGCAGAATAATTTTATCTGTCATTTCTTCTTCCAGATGGATCAAAAAAGAGTAAAATGTAGCCAACCGCTTTTTCAGTTCTGTCCCTAAACATCTTCTGTTTCCATTCTTTGTTTTTACTCTTTAGTTTTCTGGAATAAAATGCACTCAATTTGTCCTAGTAAAGATGATGGTAACCAGAGTTCAGATTGGAGGCTTTTTGTTTAACTATTTCTAGGGCATAAGAGGCCTCTTTCTGGGGGCATAGCCTTTAAAGGTTCTCCAAGCCTTGATCGTATGTGTCTATGCAACAGATCTGGTGTCACAGTTCCAAGAGTTCCATCATCTTATTTCGAGATATCAGAAGCAAGTATGAGAAACACTTTCTCAGCAATAGGATACATGTGGAATTCTGGGTGCCATTTGGTAGAGTCATTGGCTCAGGGAGAAGATTGGAATGCTTTCATCATGGTGCGCACTGTCTTGAGGCTCGTCTCAATTGTGGACTATAAAAGTTTTTGTTTATTCTCTGGTTTCAATTGAAATTCACGTCAGTCCTTCACACTAACTTCATTCTAATCTCTTTTAAGATTAGTTCCACAAAAGTAATCCTTCTTTTACCACCCCAAAAGTTTGTAATAACTGGAGTTTAGTGATGCAAATGCATCTGAATTTTTTTTTTTACCTGATTTGCTTCTGTTAATAATTTTATTCTCCACTTTTGCGATTCTTATCTCATTGCTTTTAGCTTTTGAAGAACTTCAATGAGCAAACATTTGAAAAATTGACTAATTTCTGTTTTCACAAATTTAAGAAAATTTTGGAAGTGGTCTACCATAGGGAACCAAATGGTACAAACTAATTTGTGTGCAGTCTTTTTATAAATGTCCTGCCTCAGGATTCACAAATATGGATAACCTGATCTCTTGTTCCTCTCTGAATTTCTAGAGTTGCATTCTGAGTTAGTTTCATACTCTTATTGCAATTGAGCAGTTGGCAACTAAATGTCAGATTTGTGTCCTGATTTTCAACCCTTTTCTGTTTCTGAGTGCAAGTATCATATCTGCAAGTAGAGTCCCTAAATGTTCTTCGCTGGAAGGATTTGAATTTCATTGTTCTTTCCTTGTACAACAAAAATCACCAAGTCAAATGAAGCAGAATGGTATCAGTTGTTTGTCATTTTTTCTTTACTCTTATCGTGACATGTCTGGCATCTGAAAATTATGCAGATAGTAGCTTTGCTGTATTCTTTCAAGCTCATTGATCTCTTGTTCCTCTTTGAATTTCTGGAGTTGCATTCTGTGTCAGTTGCATACTCTTATTGCAATCGTGTAGTTGGCAACTAAATGTCAGATTTGTGCCGAGTTACAACCCTTTTCTGTTTCTGAGTTTTAGTATATATCTGCAAGTTGGGTCCTTAAATGTTTTTCACTTGAAGGATTTGAATTTCATTGTTGTTTCCTTGTACACCAAAAATCACCAAGCCTAATGAAGCAGAATGGTATTAGTTGTTTGTGAGTTTTTCTTAACTCTTGCTGTGACATGTCTGGCATCTAAAAATTATGCAGATAGTAGCTTTGCTGTATTCTTTCAAGCTCATTGCATCTCATTCCTTGATTCTGGCAACTGGTATTGGTACGAATCATTTACCATGTCATTTTTTACTTTGACTGTTGACATTGAATTTGGAGTTATGTGACTAGGCTTATTTGTCCTTTTTCTCATACAGCATTGATCCTTGCTTTCAATGTATTCTTCATCTATGAGCAATATGAGGAAGAAATTGATGGGGCTGTCACATCTTTATTAATCCACACAAGGAAAGCTGGGGGCTGGTTGTTGATGAATCTGCATAGCCCTATGGTGTCGTTGCTTCCTGGCCGTGGGACATCATCAGAAAAACCGAGCTACACATTCAAGACCGAATAATAACAGCTCACTAGACCTCGGCGTGACTCGCTTGAATTTTCCAGGGTGGATGTGTAAATAGGTTAGATTCCCAATTTAAAGTAACCCTTTACTAAATTGACAAAGTAGACAAGTGTCTGCAAACACCCAAAGGCAAAAAGTTGTAGAATGGGGAAAGAAGTTTATTTCTGATGCTTTTAGCTGGCTATCTTAATGAAGAGCAGCAACACTATATTGGATCGACTCTGTTCCGTCGCTTCAAACAATATATTCTGAACTAAAGATACTGTAGAGTATTTTTATTTGGTCCAAAAGATCCATATGTAGGAAAGTATGTAGATGTTGAAACACGTTTTCAAACTTTCAAAGATGTTTATCTTCTAAATCAGCAAGCATCATGTATCGTAGCTGTATTCAATTCTAATCAAGGCAAAGGTGTATCGAGTTCCTTCTTAACAACTTATGTAGTAATTTTATGTAAAGTGAGATAAGTCTTGTATGCCATGAGCAAGATTTACAATCTTAGCTGATAAAAATGAAGAGTTTTTAGAAAATATTTCGGGGTGTTTTTGAAAAATTTTACTGTAACAGAATTTTTATAGTATATTTTGAAATATTTTTAGAAAATATTTTGGAATATTGAAGAGTAGAAGAGTTTTTAGAATGTATTTTGGGATATTTTTTAAACATAAAAAAAAAATTAGACTATTTTTTAGAGTATCTTTTAGAGTACTTTTTAAAAATTTTAATAATATTTAAAAAATTAATTTTTGAAAAACTCAGCAATCCAAACAAAGTCGAAATTTTTGCTCTATATGCTCATCAAGTAAAAGAAAGTGCGGGGTATTATGTCTTTCACCAATTGAAATAGCAACTCCATTTTCGGCAGCTAATGTCGCAAAATGATCGTGTGTAAGAATTGGCGCACATTAATATTAACTAAGTTATATTTCAGATCATGAGTTAAAAGATTGCTTTCTTCAGCAAGTTTGCAACTATTAGTGATCTTATTCTTTCTATTGCTGCAAAATGTACCATTTCATTCTAAGCTTTCAATTTTATGAACAGGGATGTATTTTCTTGTTATTCGCCTTGAGCAATCACCATGTCGGAACTAAGGGTGTCAACGAATCGAGCTGCTTGCGAATAATTTGCGAGCAACTCGTTCAAATGATCGGCTTGAGCTCGAGTCGATTTCGAACTATTCGAATATTGAAACAAATCGAATTCGAGCCTACAAACGTTATGCTTGATAAGCTCGCGAACTTTTTGAGCTTAAGATATATTTAAATATATATAATTTTATATTTATAAAATTACTTAGATATATATAATTGTAAATTTAATTACTTGTTGTATCTATTAAAATTCAAAATATAATAGGAGTATTATTGTCTTTCCAGATAATTCTAAAAAAAAATTCAAATATTAGTCTAATTAGATCAAAGCTTCAAGCAACTTTAGAATTTTGTCCGCAATCCGCCGTCTTCTTAAAGAGCTTCAGCTTCCTCACCTCAGTCCCTTTTCCCTAATCCCAATTCCAAATCAAACCCATTTGGGTTGCTAACTCCAGCCGCTTCTTTTCTCTATTGTCATCATCCACTGATTGGAAGTGGATTGTGCAGCCGTGCAGCTAGCGGAAGGTGGATCTTGGAAGCAGGTGCAGCCGTGTCGCGTGCAGAAGGTAAGATATCAGCCGTGCAGCTTCGAATGCTTTTCATTCTTTTGCTTATCAGCTTTCTTTGGTCAGTTAAGATGGATAACAAACCTGAAACACTTTTTGAAGGTTTTAAGGAAGTTTGATAGTTTTAAGGCAGCTATATATTGCACAGTCTGAGGACGAAGAAGAAGAAGAATTACAAAAAGAAGTAAACTTTGACAAATACTGTGTAGACACAAGGAGCCATATTTATGCTTCCTATAATTCTGATTAAAAAAAAATACTAGAAATTTTTCTGCAGACACAAGGAGCATGAGAGGGGTGACTTTATTAGCAATTGTTGTGAGGTGGAAGTAACTGGTTTTTGGCCTTTTGGTGGATTTTCTTTGTATTAAAAATTGGAAAGGGAAGACGCAAAAACTTGGGAAGATGCATGTATCTACTTAATCTCTTCTTCAATGGTGGACCCTGGCTGGTGGGCGAGATTTTCTTGCATTTTTTTTAATTTTGACCATGCTGTGTTAGTTTATTGTTGTTAGGTCCTTTAATTTATTAAAATTAGGCAATTTGCAACCGAGACAGCTGTTGTTCCTGTAAATTCCACCATGGTGAACTGACAAAATGGGGCATTGAACAAGTATAATCTTGTCCTAAAACTTTCGAACACGAGTAAAATAGGGCATTCAACAATTTTGAACACGAGTAAAATAGGGCATTCAGCAATTTCGAACACGAGCTCGAACCTCACGATTTTCTTACAAATCGAATTCGAGCATGCGAAACTAATATTCGTCGATCTTGAGCTCGCTCGAGCCTTAAGCACTTTGTCGAACTCAAATTCGATCAAACTAGTATTCGAGCTCGATTCGATTCATTGGCACCCCTAGTCGGAATTATTTTGACTTTTTTGGATTATTCTTCATGCAAATTTACACAAATTAAGTTGTAATTTTAGGTATCATACTTTTTGTGATCCATGTCTAGTAGTATAGTGTCTTTCTTTATAACAACTAATATAGGTAACATACATGGTTGGGGGGAAAAAACAAAGGAAAAATGTATCATACTTGGTGTTTATGAGTATGTTTCCTCATAACCGCTTGAAAGGAAGAAAAATAATAAACAAGTGGATGTCACCGAAACATACCACCTATTTTGACCAGTGTCACTATGCATTAAGGAGTACTGGGACAAACTTACAAGTGGCTGATGAGTCATTAGCCTAATATATAGCAAGTGAGGCAGATGCCACTAACAGCCTTATTGTGAGACCTCAATCTTGAGATTTCAAACCATAATCACGTGATTGATTATTCAAAAAGGTATAAAGGAAGGAAATTGTCATGAATAGAAGGTAACTCTTCTTAGGAGAAAGGCATATTATGTCCTATCTCCTCTCACTCATTTCCTTCTCTATACTACACTTGCTAACTTAAGCATTGAATGAGGGAGATAGCCCCGTCTCTGTATAGGTTTCTTGGTCAAATTGTATACAATATCATCAAAACTAAGCAAACAAGTACAAGATTTTGTCCTTCGAGTTGGCGTCATCAGTGGGAAATGAAGGTAAGATATTTCTCTTTAATTAAAGAATGGCCATGAGTAAATCGCTCCAAAGGAGGTCAAGGTCCCAAATGTTCCCCAACATGCTAATGAGGAAAGTGGTGCAAACATCACATTACAAGTTCAGCAAGAAGGTGATTCAAAAGTTGAGAACCCAATTCACCTAGCTAGTGGAGGTCAACAGCTAGTCCAGCAAGTGGATATGGCTCAATTTATAACTTAGCATTTTCCAATAATCCAATAGTTCGTATAGCAGCAACAACAGCAGCATGCATAGTAGCCATTGCAGCAGCAATTGCCAAAGAAGCCTTGCAACAAGAAGAATAGCAAAAGACCCATGTTGGAGAAACCACCACACGTTGAGTCACCGTTAGAAAATTTTAATGGGGGAATCCAGCCCTTAGCATAGGTCTTGGAAAAGATATAAAAAGTTGATGTCCCAAAGCTTAAGGCTTCCAAGAATTTCCACTACACAGAATAATCCTCCAAAATTAGATATTGTTCAACCTCAAACTCCATAGGAGGAAGAAGGATTTGCAAACTTGTCATACGTGGATAGTAATCCATTTACCAGAGATATAGAAGAATGCTCTCTCACACCAAGTTTCAAGTTGCCTCATTTAGAGACATACAATGCTACCACGGAGCTGGAGGATCATGTGAGTAGCTTTGCAACTCGAATAAGATTGCAAAACTGTCCTGATGCTATCATGTGTAAGGCATTCCCAACAAAATTAATGGAAAATGCTAGACTTTAGTTTCAGAGTCTTACTGCTCTCTCTAGAAAGAGTTTCAAAGAACTGACATCAAAGTTTGTTATAGCCTTTATCTCATGCAAGCCATTTATCAAGAATTTAACTTGGCTCATGAACATAAAGCAAAAAGTTGGAGAAATATTGTTAGCATATTAAAAATGCTTCACAGATGAAAGTATCCAAGTTATGGATAGAGATGCAAAGACAATAATGGTGGCCTTTATTAATGGTCTACAATCGGGGGAATTGTACAAAGAATTGGCCAAGAAACTTCCAGGCAATGTGAAAGAGATGCTGGATCAAGTATATGAATTTACTAAAGGAAATGAAGCCAACAGGTTGAAAAAAGAATCCGAAAAGCCAAATGATGGTAAACGGAGGAAAGACCAACAAAAATGAAAAAGGAGAAGCAAGTGAAAGTAGGAAAAGTTTATTTGATAAATTGGAAAAGGAAAAAAGTTTTGCAAGACAAAGACTTGACCTTAGTGGCGGATTTACACTGGGGGCAGTGGGGGCCCGTTCAGGGGGCAGTGGCCCCCCACTGCCCCCCTGAACGGGCCCCTACTGCCCCCCTTAAATTTCTATGATGTCTATAAAAATTTGATATAATTTCAATTATGCCCCTTAGAGTTTTGTGTATCTATTGGTTTATAGGCCCCCACTGCCCTTCTTAAATTCTATAATATCTATAAAAATTTGATATAATTTCAAGTGTGCCCCCTGAAGTTTTGTGTATTTATTGGTTTATATGCTTATAAAGTTTTTAATTTTACCTGTTGTTATAGCTACCGTAGAAAGGGTTTTATTAATGATGAATATAGTGAAAAATCGGTTAATGGAAAACACTTGGATGAATAATTGTTTAGTTACTTATACTGAGAAAAATATACTTCATGAACAAAATAAAAAATTGTAAACCGTTATCAAAATATGAAAACTCGTCATGACCAATTGTAAATGGTTTAATTTGCTTTTGAAATAAACTTATTATTACATTAATAATTTTGAGTTTGTCTTTTGATGTTTTTCATGAAACATATGCATCATTTGTACTTGTTGGTGAATATTTTTTTCTTAAAAAACTAAAACAAGAATAGGTAAAAGATTTTAGAGTTGCTTTTATCCCCACTGAAAATTTTTTCTGACTCCGCCACCGCTTGACTTCTTGGACCACCAGTTGATCTCAAAATATTAGCTCTTATTAAGAATGATGGTTTGCGTCAGTAGTTGAACAAGTGACAAGACTTATGGAGAAGCACCAAAAAAATTTATATTGTGCTTTTCATAGAGATGTGGGGCATCTCACTGATGATTGTAATGATTTGAAAAGAGAAATTGAATATTAAATCAAGCAAGGAAACCTCAAGTAATTTGTGCAACAAGCTAGAGATGCCCAAAGTTAGAGGGATCATCTCGCAGGTTGAGGAGGTCAGCGACCAGTTTGAGAGGTCAAAGGTTTAACCCATGACCTCAAAGAGCACCAATAAATCCGATCCATCAGGTCGAGTATGATACTAATGTAGCTAGTCATTAATACTGTGAGAACCCGTAAATTTTCTTATTTTCTAGAATTTTATTTTATTTAATCGCACGTTTCTGTCATTTCTTTATTAGGGAAAAAGTTTTTGAATCACTTTTATGGGTAAATAGGGTTTTAAAATTATTTTCATAGCATAAGTTAGTTCATGAGATTTTAGAAGTGGATACCGGGCGTGGGACCCGCTAATGCCGGAAGTTTGGTAAAATTTGGCCAGTTAGGTTAAGTTTCATATAATGGGATTAATTTAGCAGGTGTTAAGAGATAATTAGAGGTGACTAGATGGATTGGTGTGAGAGGAACAAGAGGATAGCTATGCATTAATGGTGGTGACAAGTGTTACTTGGAGAATAATTTTTACCTTTGACCACTATTCACTACTTTACCAATTAAAACAAAATTGACCCAAAAATCACCCAAATTTGCAAGCTCTTGGCCGGCCCTCATAAGGAAGAAAGAAAGGAAAAGCTCTCAAAATTTCTTACTCCAATCTTGCTCAATCTAGCAAATCAACCATTTAAACTTCCAATTTCTCCATAAAAATCCTTAGTTTAGTGTTTGTGAGGTTGTTGTTGGAAGTGGTTTGGAAGAAAGTGGTGCTTAGTTGTTCCTTCTCTTGAGTTACAAGGTGAGTAGGTAAGGAACCTCTCTTTTGTTCTTGATGATGTTAAATTTAGTGGCTTTTGTGAGTTAAAGAGGTGGTTTTAGAAGTTATTTCATGACTTTTGGTAAAGTTTGGTGAATTTTTATAATTATCCATGATTTTTCTGTTTTAATATGTTTAATATTGTTGGGCCATGGATGATAGCTTGGAATGGTCTAGAATGAAGCTATAGTGCGTAAATTGTGGTTATTTGCGGAAAATTTTCTCATTTGACGGAAAATTTCAGAATTAGGGTTTGAATTTGGGGCTTTTCTAGGGATTCTATATAGCACTTGTATTGGCTTGGATGGAAGGGTTTTATGGCACTAATAAGGTATATTGAAGGGTTTATAACTTGTAGTGGTAATGGTGGTTGTGTTTGGAAAAAAATAGATGAAGGTGTGTAAGTTGGAACTTAGAACATTAAGGGGAAATGCCGTCCAATTGGAAGTTCTTGTGTGAGATTGGGCTTGGGTTGTTTTAAGGATAACAAGAGACCTTAGGGTTGCTTAAACCCTTAGTGCCAAGTGTTTCTTATTTTATTTGCAAGTTTCCTTGGGTTGCATTAATGACTTGTAGCTTTGATTCATGACTCGTAATTGTGTCTTATTGTACTTATTTGAATGTTTTAGGGCGTGACGGTGGTCCGAGATGCTCGTCGGGTGAACAACTGTGAAAATTATCTTTGCTTACTTGGTGAGTGTACTACTCACTTGTTTGCTACTATGTGGCCTTGTTTTACTTGAAATTGATGCCTTGAATGTTTAATTGTATCGTTGCTATTGATTAAAACGAGGGTGTACTTGATCACTCTCACTCTTGATGTCTTAATTGATTGGTTACTGTGTTACTGGATTGATACATGAAAGTACTTGAATTGGTGTCGTTTGGACGAGTATCCAACGGCCATTACTGTTATTACTGAGCTCAACCCTATTGGAGGTCAATTGAATTGAGCCGGCAAGGGCTTGGTCGTGAAAATTGACGAGTCATGAGGACTGTTATATGGAATCTTGGAGTATGAGATTCTCGATTCCGGTATACTCGAGTATTGCCAAATCTAAACTGTTTGGAGTT